CATTATGTGTTTAATACCACTAAACTGTACACTTAAAAATGGTTACAATAGTAGATTGTATGTCATATTTTACCACAATACAAAAAATTGGGAAGAAAAAAGGGTAAATAAAACAGACAGATTCCTCTGCTCTTAGGAGGCTTATATTCTAGTGGTGATAGAGACACAAAAACAAAATAAATAAGTAGGACTTCTGCTTCAGCCATCATAGAATAGTGGTTCTTAACTTGCCCTTTTGTCACAAACTATTAGAAGACTGGACAAAATATATGAAATAATTGTTTTCATACTTTGGACAATTGGCAACACAAGACAGTGATTCCCGAAAGAAGGAAAACAAATAAGGTGAGCTCTATGATCATCCTGGTCTTCTGCCTAGAGGAGTTTTCTGGAGCACAAGGAGGGGAAACCCAAGCAGAGGCCATACTGAGTTGAGGTGATGATGGTAGTTTAGGGAGACAGAGATGGCTGGAATTTATAGATAGAAGTGAGCTCTGTAGGGAAAAAATTCTCCAGAAAGTCACAATCTTGAACTGAAGACTAAGCTGGACTGTGAAAAGCTTCAAGGCTGGCCAAAGAACAACAACTAGAGAGCCATGAGCTGAATAATTACCAGAGCTCACAAAGGGCAGGGACACATTTGTGTTCCTATCAACCAGAGTGGAGAGACGTTAAACACACAGGATATTCACTAGAAATCCAAGGAGAGTCACAGCTTACAAACAGAGCTGTATTTGTCTTAGAGGATAGACTATTTAGATGTACCCTAATAAAGCTTAAAACAAGTCTTAAAAGCATCAAGCAGCATCTTACTGCCTGCCAGATAAAGTCCACTATGCTTTAAAGGAAAATAGTATAAATCCAGACATTCAAACAATTTAATATCAGAATGCCTAACATCCAATAAAAAATTACTACACATGTGAAGAAAGAAGGACTTAAAGGAAAACTTGAATCTAATGAGGAGAAAAACAAAATCTACAAAAAAAGCCAAATATTCTTTTAGAGTTGAGAAATACAGCACCTGAAAATAAAAAAATAAAATCACACGGACTCAGCAGATTAGATACTACAGATGAAAAGATCATGACTGGCCGGGTTCGGTAGCTCAGGCTATAATCCCAGCACTTTGGGAGGCCGAGGCAAGTGGATTAGCTGAGCCCATGGGCTTGAAACCAACCTGGGCAACTTGGCGAGATCTTGTCTCTACAATAAATCAAAAGTTAGCCAGGCGTGGTAGCATGCGCCTGTAGCTCCGACTACTAGGAAGGCTGAGGCGGAAGGATCACTGAGGCCCAGCAGGTCGATGCTGGGGTGGCCATGAGTGTGCCACTGCACTCCAGCCTGGGTGACAGAGTGAAATCAACTCATAAAAATAAGAAAAGAAGAGAAAAGATCATGACCTTGAAGACATAGCAATAGAAATCATACAAAATGAAGCACAGCAAGATGAAAGCTTGAGAGGTAGGAATGGGGTGGGGGAACAGAGTTTCAGAGACCTAAATACCAATAAACTAGCATGTGTATAACTTGAATTTCACAAAGAAACTGGGGAAAGTAGGGTCAGAAACAATTTTAAAGGAAATAATTTTCAGAAGTTTTCCATACTTGATGAAAACTATAAATTCACAGATCCAAAAAGCTCAGTGAATCTTAGCACATCAAAGACAATAACCTACCCTATGGGGCAGGTGTGGTGGCTCACGCCTATAATCCCAGCACTTTGGAAGGCCAAGGTAAGAGGACTACTGAGCCCACAGGTTTGAGACCAGCCTGGGAAATTTGGCAAGAACTCATCTCTATAATAAATCAAAAAATTAGCCAGGTGTGGTGGTGCATGCCTATAGTTCCAGTTACTTGTAAAGCTGAGGCAGAAGGATCGCCTGAGCACAGCAGGTCGAGGCTGCGGTGGCTGTGAGCATGCCACTGCACTCTAGCATGGGTGACAGAGTAAGACTCTAATTCAAAAACAAACAAACAAACAAACAAAAAAATAAAAACAAACTACCTTTGGCATATTACTTTCAAGTTGCAAAACCCCAAATGAAACAAAAAAACAGTGTTTAAAAAGAACAGTGATTTAAAAAGCAGCCAGACGAGAAAAGATAAGCATGACTTTTGACTTCTTAGTAGAAACAATGCAAACCAGAGGATGAAGGAACAAGGTCTTTAATATGCTTAAAAAAGAAAAAAAAAAGCTGTCAAACGAGAATTGTATATCCATAATACTATCCTTCAAAAGTGAAGGCAAATTAAATACATTTTTCAGACAAATAAAAGCTGAAGGAATTGGTTTGCTGCACTGAATAACAACAACAACAAAATATTAACAATCTTCAGGTGGAAGAAAATATCAAGTGGAAACTCAGATCTACACAAAAATATGAAGAATGCCAAAAATGGAAAAATAAGTGAGCTTGTTTGTAAATTTCTTTAAAATATAACTGATATAACAATGTATCATGGGGCTTATAAGCTACTTAAATGTAAAATGCACAACAACACTAACTACTGGAGTATACTTTTTGTAAGGGTCTTACACTACATGTGAAGTTGTATAATATTATTTGAAGACAAATGATGATAAATTAAAAATGCACTTTGTAATTTTAGAGCAGCAATTACAAAAAAACCAAAAAATCCAAAACAAATAACTACAAGAAAACACAAGTACAGAGGTACAGCAAATAAGCCAATAATAGAGATAAAATAGAATAGCAGACATTAAAGAAAAATCTTATTCCAAAAAAAGACAGGAACAGAGTAGAACAAATAATAGATGATACAAATAAAAACAAACACCAAGACGACAGACTTAAACTCAGTCATTACACAAAATGCAATTAAGTGTAATTACAGTAAATGTAAGCAGTCTAAAAACACCACTTAAAAGGCACAGATTGTCAGACTAGATAAAAAAAGCAACACCTAACTATATACTTTCTAAAAAAGAAAAACACACTTTAATGATAAAGAAACAGGTCAAGAGTCAATGGACTGAGAAAGATTCCATGAGAACACTAATCCTAAAACAGATGGAGTGGCTATATTAATAACAGACAAGATAGACTTCTAGGACAAGGATAAAGATGACAGCATAAAGAAGGATATTTCATATCATAAAGGAATCAAATTATCAAGAAGACATTATAATCCTAAATGTGTATGCATCTGATCACAGATCTTTCAGAATACAAAAACAAAAACTGAAGGAGGAATAGACAAATTGACAATTATAGTTAGAAGATTTCAATAGTTTCCTCTTAGTAATTGGTAGAGCAAGTAGACAGAAAACCAATAAACATAGTTTTTGGGTTATTAGAAACTTATTAAGACTGGCTTTCTATTTCTTCTTTAGTGAAGTGACGCTCAACTGTGATATGAGCATAGAACTGAGTTTGAGAGTTCCTAGTTTGCAACTTCCCTTTCTAGAGTCTAATTCCTTACCTGTCAAATAGGGTAACATCTTAGTCACAAGGTTGTTATGATAATTAGATCAGAACGAAAAGCAGTCTGGACACCATACAGCACCATGCAAATCCTGCTATTTTTACTATTTTTGTTTGGTGGACTAAGAAACAGGATTCCTCTGTTATAGGGTCAGGCACTATCCGGTCCCCAGTGATTGATGGCCAACCTGCTTGCCTCTCTGTTAGCTGTGTTGCCCAATTGGCTCCTGCCAGTGGTTGCAGCACTCCATGTACCATGTTTTGTTCCTTGGCAGTGTATGCAGAAGGAATAGTGTTTCAGAAATACCACTTCAGTATCAGCTGGTTTCCCAAACCTGCTCCCTTAATTTTTTACCAGGTACCCATTCCCTTACCCAGGTCCTCTGTTTCTGAGTATTTATTCCTGTTGTTTGGTTCCTCTGTATGGTTCCCTGGCTTCTTTGAAGCCAACTCCCTGTGCTCGGATCCAACCAGCCTACCACTACCACACCTTCCTTCACATAGACCCACCTGAATTTATGGAGGTTCATTTGTCTCCCCCTGGACTAGGACACCTTTACTACCTGGGAAATTCTGGATCTGGTCTTCCCAGACATGCTCTGGAGCCATATCAAGACACTACTCAAGACCCAGAGCTATTAATAAGGGGCAAGGAACATTTTTCACAGCAGGTCACTTGTGTTCTAGAGAAACTTGGATGATCTTTTAAGTCAGGAAAGGAAAACACACAGGATAAAAGCAGGGTCAGTAGCTAGACAAGAAAGAAGATGCCTTAGACTCAGCATGAATCTTGGATCAGATTGAATGCATCCAAGGACAACAATCCATTCACAGCATCACAGGGTGATACATATGCCATGATCCCTGCAGGTGCCACACGCTAGGGAAAAGCGATAAGCTTTATTATATGATGGAATCCTAAGACTAAAGACATCAACTCTGACCATTTCCCAACCTCTTTAGCAGAGTTGCAAAGACTTCTTACATCTTGTTTCTTTCACTGGCTCTGCAATACTACTCCCCAAACCACTCTTATAACTACCAAGACAAATACAAGGCAAATTGAATGGTGACTAAATGCAGAAACCCATCCAACATTTTCTTTCTATTGTGCTAGAATATATCTGCACTGACTGTGTCTGCTCCTCTGTTGAGATTTGGAAACCATTTGGTCCAATGACAATTCTAGGTTCTACCCACACACAGATCAGGGCTTCCTGAATGTTCAGGTATACCAGTCACCTGGAGTCTTGTTAAAGTGCAGGTTTTGGCTCAATATGCATCTGGGATATGGTGGGGCCCCAGAATCTGCATTTCTAACATGCTCCTCACTTACACGGAGGCTGCTGATCTGTGGGTCACACTCTGAGGAGCATGGACAACATCAACACACACTGACAAGAGAGTCCACCCCAAGTCTCATTACGTGACTGATTTACTTAGCATGAGGGCTTACAGGACGGGAGACCCTTGTATTCATTCATTTGACATTTTAATTGATGAGACCAGTGAAGTCAAAATTTCATCAATTCTAGCATGTATTAAACTCACCCAGAATTCTTGCAGATCTGTTAGATGGCTGACATTTTCAATCTTTTTGATTCTATTTGATGCAATGTCCAACATCGTGAGTTTGTTCTAAAATAAGGAAATAAAATGTTTCCTAGATTACCTCAGTTCAACAATGGTTTGAGTGACCATGCATGCAGTGTTACGCACTGAGCTTAGGGCTGCAGGGTGAGCTACCCTCTGCCCTCATTGGATAGGGGCATGCTACCGAGGGTGATGAGACCTGCCCACTTCCTGAAGCCTTCTCTGGGCTAGTGTTTCCATCAGAGTCTGTGCAGCTACCACCTTGAGCTCTCATGATTACTGGGATTTGAGACTGTCTGTGTCAGACTCCCAAGTCGTGCTCCTAGATCCCTGTCCACTGAGGATCCCAGTGAGAGCAGTGGTCTTGGGAAGAGCAGAGTGATCCCTGGGGCTCTGAGATGGACTCTGAAGCAAGAGTGACAATTGTAGTGACATTTATTTAGCATTTATCATGAGAAAATACACAATACCAAGTAATCCTCAAAACAAAGTTCCTCTCTTCATTTAGGGATGAGGAGCTGGGCTCAATGGGGGAAAGAAACTGCACAGGCACTGAATGGTGCTGGGAGGAGGCACTCTCAGATCCCAAGTCCACACTCCTGTCTGGCAAGAGGCCGACAGGAGCAGGGATACAGAGAATAGAAAGCCCAGGCCCTGGGAGAGTGAGTCTAGGCCCTGGGAGAGTGAGTCTTGTGCCGCCCTGGAACTTACAGCTGATGGAAGCAAGAAGGGAAGCAGATGCTCAGCCAACTGAGGCCTATATCCTGGGTGGACTGTGTCCTAGGTATCCTCAGACCAAAAGACAACACCGTATTTTTATGATCATCTGCTCATCTATACTTACTTCCCAATATGAATCAGCAAAGTCTGGGTAATTTTTTTTAAAGTTTACAGTTTCAAGATTTAACAGAAGAATGATTTTGTAGTGAAAACTAAGTCTGTTAAAGCTCCACTGCTTGTGACAGCATATTTAATCAAACCAATTGGCAAATTTTCCATCAAAAGGAAAACTTTTACAAACTGAAAGCCTCTGGTAGAGAGCTCTGCCCTCAAATGTCCCTGTACTTCTGATTGAAGATTCCCTTCTGTTTTCTACTGTGTTTCTGGGTATTCTGATTCCAAATCCTCCCAAGTTTTTTTTTTTGAGTTGGAGTTCTCTGTCACTCAGAGTGGAGTGCAGTGGCCGCTCCCGGCCACCGCAGCCTTGACCTGCTGGGCTCCAGCGATCCTTCCGCCTCAGCCTTCCAAGTAGCTGGAACTACAGGCGTGAGCTACCACGCCTGGCTGATTTTTGATTTATGTAGAGATGAGGTCTCGCCAAGTTGCCCAGGTGGGTCTCAAACCTGCGGGCTCAGGCAATCCACTCGCCTCGGCCTCCCAAAGCACTGGGATTACAGGCTGAGCCACCGAGCCCGGCCTGCTTCCAAGTTTTAAGGGACAGTTTTAAAAATGTTTCAAAAACAAACAAACAAAAGCAACCTCTCACCCCACAAAAGCACCCAGCCAGCAGCTCTGCTGATTCAGCGTGCTATGGCTGTGGCCTGGGAGCTCCTCTAGCTACACTGCTCCTGCCTGCGTTCATACCCAGCTCCTCCCCAGTCAGTGCCAAGTACACATGCCACGCATGGGCTGGGTCATGTTCAACGCCACTCTCCATCCAGCAGGCTACACGTGGGGATGTTGCTGAGGCAGCTCCTTCAAAACATCTCATTATGATGCCTCTCCTGTACAGATGGCAGCTCTCTCTAATACTCTGCATGCTTCTGGGATACTCAAGGTCAAAGTGTGTGAATGCCCAGAAGCTGGTGAAATGAAAGTGGCCTGACACACACAGTGAGATTTGAGCATTGTGAAGTCCAAGTACCAAGGCTCAGCACTGGGGCAGAGTAGCTGGTGGCCAGTTCTAGCTACCAGAACTGGTTCCCAATCTCTGAGCTCAGGAATTTGATTATGCACTCAACACTATTTCAAATTTTTCTGGGAAAGATGAACAATGTTTTAAAAGCTCATTCAAAAGCAAATCAGGAAGAATTGCTTTAAAAAATAGAAGAAAAAAAAAGGCTGGGAACAGCGGCTCATGCCTGTAATCCCAGCACTTTGGGAAGCTGAGGTGGGAGAATCACTTGAGGCCAGGAGTTTAAGACCAGCCTGAGCAATATAGTGAGACTCTGTCTCTTAAAACTCCAGAACAAGACAGGTGTCACACGACATCAGGGAGGAGGTTGTTTGATAAGTTGGGACAGTGCATTTGCCATTTGGGACAAAGGTACATTTATTTCCTTATCTCCCACCACAAAAATAAATTCTAGATAAATTAAGATAACACTTAGAATCAAATATTTGTCTGATCGCTAGTTGAAAAAAATCCCAGAGGGGAAAGACTGTCACATTTGATAATGATAAATATTATGATAACATGCAATGATTTTTTTTTTTCTGTTTTGTTTGATGCCCAAGAATGAGCTGGTGTTTAACCAAGATCACATGTCACACTCTTACTAGTAAAATTCTGAACTGTGCTCCTTTCCTGTTTGTCTGGAATCACGTTACAGATGTGGTGGTGCAGCAACTTCACTCAGGAAGGCCAGGGTGCAAGAGGGTAACACGCTCCCTGGAATGTGGGTGTCTTAGCAAGGCATCCTTCTGTGCACCCTGCCTGGTCCCAACCCCAGGCTCTTTTGCACAGTCTCCACCTCCAGCCTGTCACTACTTTCCTTCTCAGGGACACCTCAATTTGTCACCTTGCACTGTATAAGTGAACACTTGGTTTATTCACTGGTTTTATAAACTTGTAATTTGAATACAAAGTTGGAAGAAGGTGACCAAACTTTCCACTGACAAACTTGAATTTTTCCAATTTTTTTTTTTTGAGTCAGAGTCTCACTCTGTTGCCCAGGATGGAGTGCAGTGGCACACTCATGGCCACCGAAGCCTCAACCTGCTAGGCTCAGATGATCCTTCCAACTCAGCCTTCTAAATAGTTGGAACCACAGACGTGCACCACCACACCTGGCTAATTTTTTTTTTAATTGTAGAGATGAGGTCTCGCCAAGTTGCCCAGGTTGGTCTCGAACCCCTGTACTTAGGCAATCCTCTTGCCTCTGCTTCTCAAAGTGCTGGGATTACAGGCGTGAGTCACCGTGTCCGGTCCCAAAATTTTATGTAGATGCTAGTGAAATCAAATTCAGGTTGTGGTTTTTTCTTCCAAAACAACATTATTAAGGGCAACCAGGCCCTGGGGCCCGGCACAAAGAAGCCTTCAGTGAGCCTGAGACACTATGTTTGCAATAATAAAAATGACCCATCAGGTTACTCTTGCTGGCAAGTAAACAAAACAGAAAAAAAAACCCAGTAAAATTGAATGAGAAAAAGTCTTTTATTTGTCTTGAATATTGCACGGAGGGAAAGTAGGTTGACCTGGAAGCAGCTGAGGAGGGCGGGGCCTCTGTGGGCACTCTTCTGTGCAGGAGGCTGACTTGGGTCTGAGTGAGAAGGGCTGGGGAGGGCAGAAGGAGTGTGGACAAGCAAGGACAGGTATGGACAGCAGGTGGGGGGAGGTGGAGGTGGCAATGGTGGGTGGAGGAAGCTATCTATGCTTTAAGAGAAGGAGGTGGAGGAGGCTGGGACTGAAAGCTGGCCCAGTACCTCCCGCAGGCTGGGAAGTGGGAGCTGAGGCAGCTGGGGACAGGGGTAGAGGCAGAAGTTCAGTGGCTTGGAAAAGAGGAGGAAAGAATAGCTGCTGACATCACTACCCTCTGTAGTATAGGGTGTTTATGAGGAGGTAGGGTGTGTTTTTTTCCAAGTCTTGCAAAATGCCTGCAGCACACAGTGGATGTGCAGCAGATGCTGCCCTACTGAGGGCGCCTGTGGACTCCTGTGCTGAAATTCCGCATAAAGCATCAGCCCTTCAAGGCACTCTCAGGACAGAGGGCCAACAGGCTCACATCTCATGCACGAGAAGCAGTACCTTAGCTTTTAGGATGGGAGGGCTCTCCAATAACCTCTGGAGGCCAGGGTGTGCTGGCTGGCTGACTGCCTGTCCACCCAGTGCCCCCCGCCCACATGGCCCCAGACAGACCAAAGGGCATCTTACATTGTTCTCCAGGCCCTCGATGACCTCAATGCCATTGTGGCTGAGGTACAGCTCCCGCAAGTTCACCAGGTTCTGCAGACCCTCGATCTTGGTTAGGCGATTGCTCTGCAAGAGGGAGAGACCATAGCTGTCAGAATGAAGCAGCACGTGAGAGAAGACATGGCTTTAGGAAATGAAGCTTCTTATCAGCATAAAAAGTTCTAAAAATTAGGAAATGAAGTTTCCTTTTTTTTTTCTTTAGGAAATGAAGTTTCTTATCAGCATAAAGAATTCTAAAAAATGATAAAATTTAAGTTAATTTTTATATTATTTTTTGGCAGATGAATGCTCAATTGTTGCAAATACTGTCCTTTCTCCATTGAATTAACTCTACACAGTTGTCAAAAATCTACTGACCATATTTATGTAGGTCTATATGTAAATGTTATGATTATTTAAATGTCATTTCTGTTAAAACATGCTAAATGGGACTGGAGTTAGGAAAAAAGGGGGAATACAAATCTTGAGTCTGCTATTCTGTGCCAAAATTCATGCATGGAAGTTACCAGTTTTTTATGTAAATAACTCACTCTTTAAAGTTGTACTTGAGGAAAGTTTATTGGAATTAGTTTCATAATTTTAAAATGTCAAAATTACTGATTTTTTTTTTTTTTTTGAGTCAGTTTCAACGTCACCCAGGCTGGAGTGCAGTGGTACACTCATGGCCACCACAGCCTTGACCTGCTAGGCTCAGGTGATCCTTCCGCCTCAGCCTTCCAAATAGCTTGAACCACAGGCACATGCCACTATGCCTGGCTCATTTTTAAATTTATTGTAGAGACGATGTCTCGCCAAGTTGCCCAGGCTGGTCTCGAACTTCTGGGCTCAGGCAATCCTCTCATGCCTGTTGTGATTATAGGCATGAGCCACCGTGCCCAGCTGAAAACTATTAAATATTTTAAAGTAAATTAGGCTGGGTGTGGTGGCTCATGCCTGCAATCCCAGCACTTTGGGAGACCAAGGTGAGAAGATTGCCTGAGCTCAGAAGTTCGAGATTAGCCTAGGCAACCTGGCAAGACCTCATCTCTATAATAAATAAAAAAATTAGCCGGGCATGGTGGCGTGCACTTATAGTTCCAGTTATTTGGAAGGCTGAGGCGGAAGGATCACCTGAACACAGTAGGTCAAGGATGTGATGGCTGTGAGTGTGCCACTGTACTCCAGCTTGGGCAACTCCTACTCAACTCCTTTTTTTAAAAGGGAAATTAATTCTCATTTCCCTTAGTATATATTATAACTTAAATTAGTCCTTAAGTTTTTTTTTTGAGACAGGGTCTTATTCTGTCACCCAGGCTGGAGTACAGTGGCACAGTCATAGCTCACTGCATCCTTGGATATCTGGGCTCAAGTGATCCTACCTCAGCCTCCTGAGTAGCTGAGACTACAGGCATGCGCCATTATGCCTGGCTGTTTTTATTTTTTGTATAGACAGGGTCTCACTATGTTGCCTAGGCTGGTCTCAAATGCCAGCCTCAAGTGATCCTCCCACCTTGACCTCCCAAAGTGCTGGGATTACAGGCATGAAGCACCGCACATGGCTGTAGACTTTAAGAACTTTTAAAAAGAAGATCGCAGAACATCTGCTTCAGCAAGGGTAAGGGTGGTTTACATGTACCCTCACTGTCAGTCAAGGGAGACTGCCATGCAAGACACTGTTCCCAGAGCACCATATCCTACCTTGCCTCAAGCATCTGACTCTACTAATTTGCTTGGGATAAGAAAGGTAAATAAGCGCCAAAGCATATTCAAGTGCTTACCAAGTCCCTAACACAGAAGTCTAACAGGGTTTATGTTCACTTTACAATGTGGAAGGAACTGCTTCTGTCATTGAGCCAAAAACTTCAGGAGGATTTAGAACAAGCTCAACCTTCTGAAGAAGTCCCGTCTGCCTAAAAACCATCTAAGACTATTACTGGGAAAAGAAACATGGCCTTTAAAGAATGAAATTTTAGTTCTTTTTTAGGTGTGTGGTATGTGTGTATGTATAAAGCCTATGGCATCTAATGTTTTAATCGCTTACAGACAGTGAAATGGAATGCCAATTGTGAATGCAGTGAAGGATAAAAACTATGGCATGTTCAGCAGTGCTGGCCCTGCCAGGTTCAGGGGATGGGCAGCTGGGAAGGCTGATACCTGCATACTGAGGACTGTCAGGTTGGTAAGTGCATCCAGGTTCTGAAGTTTAGTAATTTTGTTTTTCCCCAGAAACAAACTCTCCAGATTGGTTAATGTGTCGATATTTTCAATTGCCTGTGGAAAGGACAGAACAGCAGTGAGTGCTACAGGCTAGCGATCTGTGCCAGGTGGAAGACAGGTGCCTGAATCAGGGGCAGAGCTGTCTGGCCTTAAGCTCTGTGATGTAGGGTTGGTGATTTATCAGCTCTGGAAACTTTCCAGTGAGATCTTACTTGAAAGACTATGAAAAAACAGAACAATGGGAGAGTCTAAGGCTCTGTCTCGAGTTTGCCCCAACCCTTAGGTTTTGAAGAGCTCCAGGGTTCTAAGGAATAGTCTGAAAACACACAGACCAGCAGATATCCCAAGTCTCTTCCAGTTCTAAACTTCTGAGTTGACATGTTATGTTATTCTATGTAGCATTCCTCAGAATGCACTCTCAAAATCCTTGGTCTCTACAGAAGTGAGGTGCTGGAAGCTCTGACCCTAGGTCTTTGAAGTCCTGGGATGCCCACTTAGGATTCTTGGGGAAAGGGGTGCGCTTACACCATGGCTCTGCCCCCCTTGCTCAATTTCCTAACTCTCCTTCATTGCCCCTCCTTGCTATTACCGTGTACTCCTCTATTCAACCATAACCTCCATAGACAGAGACTGCGCTGTCCTGTCTGGTCTCCCTCCAGTGCCTCCAGTAGGCTGTTCAATAGCTGTTTATTGACTGACTTCAATTTCCCTCCTCTCTTAGTTCACTCTCTCTGAGAACAAGCTATTCTTTAAATATAGTCAGATGAGGCAAATGCTAAACAAGTAGGGACTCCAGCAATGAAGGAACATCTCATACCACCCATCACCACAGGCCTTGGGGTAGGGGGGCATCCTCACATGACTTAGTCTGTGTTAATTTGTGATGAGCCACCAGTGCCTGGAAAGTTCTACAGTGAGACACTTAAAAAAATGCAGACATCTGGGTTGCTCTCTAGTTTTAAATGTACTGCTTTGCTATTTGTGGCCATGAGATCTCTAACAATAACTGTCAAGAAAGACTCTTGCCAAAACCACCCTCCCCTGGTTTGTATCCTCTCCAAGCTCTCAAGGACCCAGGACTGACCACGGCATGTTATAATTATTCCAGAAGCCAAATGGAGGGGTGCGCCAAACATGGAACAGGGTAGATATGCTCAGAAACACCTGCCTGGGCCACTAAATAAGGCTGAGGGAAGCACAGGCTCAGTGCCAAGATTGTAGTTAGGAGCCAGGTGTGGGACTCAAATGGCCTTCTAGCTGACAATCCTCATCCTTGCCCATGGCAGATCTACCCCCAATGGTAGTCCTTCTGTGATGCCTTCCAAGTTCCCCTCCAACAGATGCCCCCTGGCAGCAGCTATGTCAGCTGGTAAAGGACTTGATCTTGCTTCTATGGAATACCACATCATTTTTCAAAAGTCTCTTATTTTCTTTCTGCCCTGTCTGTCAAGGTCAAATGGATCCTGGAGAACAGATATAATCCTGCGGGCGGATGTGTTCCAGGGGCACAATGACATCCAGGGGATGAAGGGTCAACGCAGCACTGTGTTCTAGGGCATCTCAGTAGCAAGATACTTTCTAAAGTCCCTGGTATGGACGACAGATCACTGTAAGTGACTTTGCTGTGCTTGGGAAACTTTCATCTCAAAGAGGCATGGCGGAGTAAACAAGCTAAGTACATTCAAAAGCAATGTGTTTGGTGGGTTGACCTCAGCAGAATGCAATTGGAAGTGGTCTGAGTTAGGGTCATGATTTGGATGGAGAGCAACTGAAAGCCATGTGCAGAAGAGAGGTTAGACTACTTAGTTTAGACACATATTCCTGCTGGCACTGACTTCTAATTAGCATTTTTTTCTTAATAATAATTTCCTTGCTCATGAAGAAAAATCATAGCACCATAGGAAAAAGAAAGCCCATTACAAAACCTACATGCATCCCTGTTTAGTCTACACACAGCCCGATTTAGCTGCCTTTCCCTAAGGACACTGGTGTCACCTGCACCTACCCGGATGCGGTTAGATCCCAGCTCTAGCATCTGTAGTTGATGTAAGTTACTTATGTTCTCAATTTTATTGATTTTGTTGTTGACCAAGAAGAGTTTTTTCAGTCGTATCAACTTGTCAATCCCTTCAATGTTTCTCAGGAGATTAAAAGAAATATCTAGAATCCTGGAAACAAGCAAAACATTTTTTAAAAAAATAAGCACAGTTTGCACAGAACTCAGAATTTAATTAACTTCGAGGTGGTATTCCCATCCAGGAGACTGTAGTCACCATGGAGGTGGGATCTGACTGTGTCCTGCCACATTCTGGCTCACACCAACACTGTCATACAAGATTATGAGGCTACCCAGGAGCCTGGAGAGAGCCAAAGGGCAGCCTGCAGGTTCCTGATACCCTGGCTCCCAGGAGTGTATTTGAGACAGAAACCAGGTTTCCTTCATACCTGTGTCCATGGCAGGACCTAGCACCAAGTTCTGCACACAGAAAGGGTCTGAGAAGTATTGAATTAGAAACAAGACAAAAATCAACAAGCGACAAAGGAGTAGAAGTCCAAGTAAAATTATAAATAGGACCTGACTCCTTAAATGTAATTTCTTCCTTTGTTGAAAAAAAAGTTCTCAAAAGGCAAAAGAGGAAATTTTGAATTAACTTTTCTCTCTACCTGACTTCAACATCATCCCTGAATGTAGGCTAGCCAGAAGTCCCCACTGTAGCCTGCCCATCAAAAGGACTCTGCAAGTCAATACTGTCCTGTAAACCGATAACATACATGAAGCTGACCTGCCCTCCTGGATCCCTGAACAGGCAGGCAGAGACCTGGGAGCCAACTTTGGGGCAAGACCCTGTGGCAGAGGTGACCTCCCAAGGACCAAGAGCAGGGAAGGGGGTTGGTTTTGGGGATACTGAACGTCCCCCACCCATTCGTGTCCCCACATGCTGCTCTCCTCTGGATCTCATGACTCACTCTAACTCTGTCAGCGCCTCCAGGTTCTCAATCTTCTTGATCTGGTTGTCGTAAAGATCCAGCTCTCGAAGACTCTGTAGCTCCTCCAGATTCTCAATGCATTTAATTAAATTTTGACGTAGGCAGAGAGTCTGGGGGATGGGAAAAGGACAATTGACACAGGCAAAGGCGAAGCCACGAGGTGTCATATGGCACTGGAGCACATAGGACAAGACTTTCTGGTGGAAGAATGTGCTTTCATTCTTGTGCTGATTCCTAAAAGTTGCTGACTTTTGAGAGACAGGTGGGCAAGAACGGTAAGCTAGAATTGCCCTGCCACACGTGGGGATGGGCAGGAATCCAAAGGGAGATGGGAGGCTGGAGGCAGGCCCCAAAGGGGAGGGAAATGTCAGCCCAGGTGGGAGTGTGTGTGCCATTTCCTGGTGTAACAGAAGAACTCCTAGTGGGTTCAATTTTCAGAAACAAACTTAACTGAAGTACATAACTGACTATAAAACATGATGAGTGCTTAATTGAATGCAGGCTCAGCATTGAGGCAGGCCTGAGTCACTAGCTGCTTGGACTCAAGGGCGCTGTCCCAGGGCTGCCCCTCAAGTTTCTCGACTGCTGCATCACACGTGCTGTATCACACCTGCCACAGTCTGAGTAAAGAAAGACATGCGAGATGGCTAGAGGCAACTTGCGCCTCTCATAGGATGGGGCAAGGACTACAATTTGGGATTCATTTCTTGGTTATGGGCTTATCTACATCCTCTGGGAGAATGTCACAGTCCCCTCGTGCAAGGACAACATCCCTCACCTTCACTTTCCTCAGCACCTCAAATCCTTCAATTTTTCCAATGCGATAGTGATTCAGATCAACATCCTGAAACAAAGCAGAAATCTAGCTCAGCTACAGTGAAGTGCCTGGAGACCTGTGTCCTAGAACAGGAGCTGTTAAAAAAGGCCTGGCAGGTGGACAGGGGTGGAGGAGGAGGCAGTGCTAGGGTGGGTCACCAATGGATGATGGCAGCAGGGTGTGTTGCTGGGGCTCTTTGGTTTGGCAATGACCGATATTAGTTTCATATAAAACTGACCCTCATACTGACTGGTAAGTGACACCTTTCTGTCACTCCCTACCTCCCATCAGCACAACATATAAACTTAGGCCCTGAGGATACGAACTCCACCTTGTCACCATCAGAGACACCCGATGGGCTCAGGAGGCCCAGCACCGGTTCCCATATAGCACAGGGCTGTTGGGACTCCATCATGTACAACATATCACTGGACCCATATAATGTACGAGTCAAAGATGTCTCATTTGCCACACAATCCACAATAGTTAAAAAGAAATGGGATTTCAGTCACTAGTATTCAAAACAACAAGAAAACAGCAATCTGACTCAACCAAACGAAGCTTAAGCATCCTCTCTAGGGAAATCACTTACTAATCTGGCACATTCATACAAGATAACCTGTCAGTCAGGGTGGTCTGTCACCATGCCTTCTGAGGCTGGGTCAAGCAGGTGGTATTACCTCTGCATCTCTGTCCAGGTTGATGGTTTCCATGTCCACAGGCAGCTCGTGTTCTTCTGAAAAAAAGGAGAAATTCATTCAGAATCCCACTGACAGGAGTTACTAGTCCCAGGCATTGGTGAAGAGCTGCCTCCTTGCTGAGGTCTGGGGCTACTGGGCCCAGGGCCAGTCTAAGCCCCAGGAGAAACCAACAGAAAGGTACTCCAAGGACCTGGAGAACATTGCAGGGTTAAACCCTGCACCAACAATGGTGACACTTTAAGCATTCTGAGTTTCCTGAATTTAGCTCTTGGCAAAGGTCTTCAAACTTCCTTATGAACCTCTGAACCTCTCAAGAAAGTTAATGGAGTTTGAAGTTGCTGGGTACAGTGGCTCACGACCGTAATCCCAGCACTTTGAAAGGTGGAAGCAAGAGGATTGCCTGAGTCCAGGAGTTCGAGACTAGCCTGGGCAACTTAGAGAGACCTTTTACAAATTAATCAGGCAAAGTAGCGCGTCCCTGTGGTTCTAGTTACTTGGAAAGCTGAGGTGGAAGGATCACCTGAACCCAGCAGGTTGAGGCTGCGGTGGCCGTGGAAGTGACACTTGCACTCCAGCCTGGGTGACAGAGCAAGACTCTGGCTCAAAAAAGAAAACAAAAATGTAGTTTGAAGCTGTTGGTGGAAAGGAGGGGAAGGAAGTGACTGAGATGCAGGTGAACCCAAGCAGCAGCCACCTCCTTCCTATCACCCCCCGGAGCTGTGGAACTGGCAGCAGCCTCTTCTCCCACACACTTTTTCCTTTTTGTTAGGCCATTTGAATATAGATCATGTTGGGCATATCAGATGTTCAAGGATGTGCTTTTTATTGCTTTGGAAGGTGGCCCAGCATCTACAAACACTTCTCTTTGCAAAGAGCAAAACAAAATGAAGCACAGCTCAACAGATAGGATCAAAGCACCTCACTGAATAATTTAAACATACTTCTCAACTGGGAGACTGGTGAACTAATTCCAACAGAGAAACCCATTCGAATTTCATGAGGATTTTCTACCCTGGAGCTGGCCTCCTCTGAGTCACTCACGACTGGAGGACAGCCCCCTATGTAGCACTTCATCTTCATTTCATCCAACACTACTTGAGCATGTATGTGGAAATGGACTAAGACACAGATGTGCACACAAACTCAAGAGCATGCAGATGTACAGGCACATACACATAGCACACATAGACACGTGCACAACAAAGCAACACACACATGCATACGATGACATGCACATACAGACACACACATACAGACACACACACACCTCCTGAGACACTTTAAAAAGGAAACATAACAGTGATTTCCCAATATCAATAAATATCCAGCAATTGTTCACATTTCCTCAACTGTCTTATAATTTCCTTCCCTAGTTTGCTGGCATTTGGATCTAAATAAGGTCATATATTGCGACTGGATGGCATTTTTCTTATGTCTTTTTTCCCTTGCAATTTTTTTGTAGTGCTTCTCCCAGTCTGATTTCTGTGAATTATACCCCCAGGATGCTTGCTCTCCTGCACTTCCTGTAAACTGGTTATCTCTGTCATTATTTTTCCTGGGCTCTCACTGCGCCTTTTCCCTAGAGTAAACCTGCATTTGCTTCTGCACTGCAGGAGGCTCACACAGCCCTGGACCTCATGCCAATGCTGGCTCCTTCTAAAGATGAGTCGCCTGCGTGCTGGTCAGCCTGGATCCTCAACTGGAGGCCTCAGAGAGAAGCACTTAACATTGCGCCAGCTTAACAAAGAAGTAATGGTCTCATGTAGCTGAATTCACTTTATTCTTTCCACTATGCCTTTTCTATAATGATCAACTGTGGCAAGTTTTTTTTAAAAAAAATGATGTTGACTATAGTTTATCTGTAGGATACCAACCAACCTAAGAGTTAAATAAAAGGAACTGGGAAAAACCAAGAGATATACCAAATCTCCCCAAAAGACTGTAAATTCACTGTCCACATACTCAGGAAGTTGCACTAGAAGAGGCACTACAGTTGGGGTAGGGGCCCAGGTCATTCAATCCAAACCAGGACACTTTGAAAATAAAAGGGTAGAGTCATGCTGGGTCAGTAGGCAAAAACTAGGGCTGTCCCAGACTCCTTAGGACACATGGTCATGTGGCTTCAAGGGGTCTTATTTGAAATACATCTAGTATGGGGCTGCCCCCCAACACTTGAAATGCCAGTTAACCTCTGAAACATGGTCACCAGCCTAGAACATCCTTCTGAATATATTACATAGTTATCATATTTTAAAAGTTAGAAAAATAAGTAGAAAGTAACAATTGACATGTTTAAATTTGTTTTATTTGAATTCAAGATTTAAATAAATATAGGTAGGAGTAAATTCTTGTTTTTCTAAGGACCAGAAATGCATATTCCCAGAAAGTTCATAATCATCTGGAGGAAAGAATCTTGAATTTAGACAGGCCGGGTTCCAGGCCAGGCCAGCTGGTCTGTCCTGTAGTCATGTGCCTTTCGGCAAGTTGCAGCAAACCTTACTCTTCCCATCTATAACATATTATAGCATCACTGTAATTATAGCACATGATGATAACATCATTAGTTTGTGCTAGTGAGCCAGGGAAAGAAAGCATATAGCGGTACTCGGGCAACTCTCAAGTACTCTGCAAGCATCTAATGTCTTCGCAACACCCATCTGAGGACAGTGGGGGCTCCCATCGCTCAGCTGTTGGTGACTAAGTCAGATAATAACAGAAGCTTCCATCCATCACTCCCATGCATTTTTTTCCCACCCACATCACTTCTAGAATATCGACTTTGAAGTTCCAAAGTAAATGTGACTGGTACTTTTGTGGTAATCTTCTTTTGCCTTAAAATTAGGTTGCCATAGTTACAAATCATCTTTGCAAGTACAGAATAGCACAATGTTATTTTAGAAATTAGCTTTGTTTCTCATAAATTTATTTTTTAAAAGGGTAATGCATGATTATCCATATATTGTATACAAATCTAGAAAATGCAGAACGTATAGGTCCCTCTCAAAGTTGCTATTTAGAGAGATTCAGAAGTTTAATGTGTTTTCTTTTTTAAACCAGTAAAATTACATATTTATACTTTTTAACCAAAAGTAAGATTTTAACATGCATACTGTCTAGAAACTTGTTTTAACCCAATAACTGGATATCTTTCTGTATTCATATAACCATATGAACCTCATTCTTTTCAGTAGAAATTGATTTTCTAAGCAAACAAACAAAAAGACGTGGGCCATTGTTAGGGAAGTTGAAAAATTACCATTATGGGCTGATAACTTACTTTTAATATCTCAAGCTTATTTTGTTGCTATTGTTCACTAAATAATAGGCAGCTATTGGGTTATTTTCCACATAAAATGATTTTCCTATCATCTAGGCACTTTAAAAGTAGATGCCCTGGCCTATAAAAATGGTGACATAGGACTCAGATATGATCTAAGAGAGCAAAAGCTTCTATTGCTATGGTAGGATGTAGAAGCATGGTAGTCAGACATGTTTATTTCAAATCTCACTTTCTGAACATACAGTTAATAAAACAATTTCCTGGTCCTGTCCTAGATGATACACTAGTAGCAATATTAGTAGTAGTATTTGTCTTTGGTGGAATTAGACAAAAAACACATCCTTTGTGCCATCAACAAGTCAGCCCATTGAGGAAGTGGAGTACCTCAGAGGTAAGTTGCTCCCAGAGAGCACATCTAGTTGGCTTGGCCCACTTGAGGGCCTCTAAGGAGCACAGCAGTGTTTCCCAAGACTGACACACCACCACCAACCAGTGACAGATCACATGTAGCACATCCAGCACCCTCTGATGGACACACTCCCACATTCCCCTTGCCCCAGTGAACTCAGCCGGGTACCTTCTGGATCCTCCTCCCCTGGCTCCTCTCCATCCTTCAGGCTCTGCTCACTGAGGTCTGCCACAAGGCCACTGCTGTGCTTCTTCCCTTCTTCATCACCTGACTCTTCAGATTCAACCCGCCTGTCAACTGAACCCAAACACATCAATGAGAATTCAAATTCACTTTATATGACTATTTGAGAAACAAATGACAGGCTAACACCCAGCGTGAAGTCAAAAAGACTTCATTCAAACATGCTTGTTAAATTCAGTTTAATGAAAATTTTGAGTGTCCTCCATGTCTCAACACCACCTGAGGCATAAAGTGGGAGGGAGAACTGGGATGGGGGAGGGGAGAGCATGGAGACTGTCTGGAAACTTAGGTGAGTAACACACTATTTCTGCCCTCAAGGAACTTGTGAAGAACTACCACGTGTTCTGAAAGTGTCACGATAATTTGTAATCAAATGTACTAATAGTACCACGAAGTGAAGCACCTCCTGAGTGCTCTCACTTTCAGGCTGCATGTCTACTGCGGGGGGGGGGGGCTACTGTGACCCTTCTCCCACA